ATTTTTTGTTCAAGGTCGAGACAATCAACCAAGTGAATATCTCAAACATTTTCTGAACAACCAAATTAGTTTATTCGATGATTGCTCATGGATGATATGGCGAAAATCTGTATCATCGACTAAGAAAAGTAATGGCGAAAATTCCAATGCTGATAAAAACATTTTATTGCAAAAAAATATCGGATCGGTTGAAGATCTACTAGAAGAATTTGACTGTCAGTGGATAACTTACGTTAAACATTCTTACATTACAAGTCAACAGTCTAGCTCAGTGGCGTAGGCAGGGTGGGGGCCATTGGGCAATTGCCCAAGGATTTAAAATTTATTGCTCAACGAATTTTTCAGATGATGACATTTGCCCAATGTCAAAAGCTATGACACGAGTGCATTTTTGAAGATCACACTGACGTTTTATTAATAAATAGCTTTTTATCGCCATTTAATCAATCGATTTAAAAGGATTGATTGAGATTTATTTCATTAAAATAATAAACATAATGATTACATTGCTGTTATATTTTTCGGTCAAGACTCCATGTTCTACTCAGCATCGTTGATGTAAAATGCTGGTGGATTCTCATGTATTTTCCTGAGTATATAAGATTACTTAGAATGTAAATAACTGAAATTATCTAAGAATAACACTGCCGAAACAAGTAATGGCATGACTCGCGCAACTTAAGAATTAAATACTTAAAGGAACTAGGTGAGAATTTAAAGAATAAAACAATTCAATGCATAAATGAGGAGCAAAGTTGCACCTGGTAGGATCTTTTCTTTACCGACATAGTTTGAGATGGTCGAGTGATATTTCAGCATAAGTCATTACTCATATTTTTTTACCTCCTATCAAGAAAATCAACTCATCGATTAGTCATATCCATCTTGAAATCAATGCAATAATGGAATAATATTTATTATAGACCATCTTTTTTACTGTCGATTTCGATGTATTTTTTACACTTAACGTCTTTTAGTGAACAGAAAACTATAAATCACTATAAATTCTACGTTGCCTTTTTTTGGACTGTATTAATTATTCGTTAGATATAGACATCGATCAGTAGTGCCCCGTGCAATCCGGTTTCGTAATCGTTCATTGTTTTTTAAATTTGTGGGAAATCTATCCTGAAAATACTATGGTTAGTACAAGAAACCTATGAAAAATACAATCTTGATGAGTTTTCTAGTTTCTTATGACAGTATAAATTGAGATGACCGCGGGTCACTGAAATACACCAAGAATTTAATGAGGAATTTTGACGATATATACTAGTTGTATCCTTCTCTTCCAACGTTAATCACCTTTAACATCAATAAAAAGTATTTGATATAGGAAATAAATATTCTTACAAGCTAGATTTTCAGAAAAAGGCACGACAGTTTGAAAAATTTTCATACCAGTCAGTATAAAAAAGGTTGTAGTGGTTGCTAAGTATATGGTCCGATGAACAGTTCTCTACTTATTAGGATCAGACCTAGTGTCTATCGTTATTTCCTACAATTATAGCTTTGCATATTTACACTTCTATTTTAAATAAAATTTTTAAATACTTAAAAGCTGAAGGTTACATTTGTGAAACAGTGCCAAAAAGGTGAGAGAAATCTTCTTAGTCAAAAGTAACAAATTTCACCTCGATAAACATAACGTTTTTTGAAGACAATACATTTAAAAAAGTGTCGCCCAATAGATTGATGATTGCCCCTTATTGCCCAATACTCAAATAAATTTTGCTGGGAAATGGCCCATGACTCAAAAATTCCTGGCTACGCCACCGGTGACAAGTCTCAGCGTGCTCTGATCGACGTAATGAAAATGAAATCCACAGATTATCAGTAATATCCGGATTTTACTTTGGGCGAACGAAAAATCATCGAGCAAATCGGACAAAATTTGGTAACTATTTCGCACCTCAACGATTTTCATGACGTTTCAACCAATATCAGGCGACATGTGGTTCTCGAGATCATCGCGACACAAAATATGGAGCTTGGATGTGTAGGTCGAGAAAGAAAAAAAATTTTCGCCAAGCATCGCTATACAGTGCTTCGCACCGTAATAAGAAGATTACAAGAGCTTTGTTTGACAATCAAGTGTACGATGACATTGCGACATGTTAACAGTTTGAAATCACCACAGTATAATGGTTTGACTAAATATTCCTCACGCAATCATATATGAGATGATTATGAAAGTCTAATATATGAGAAGAATAAATAAAGAACTAAGCCATTACAGTCAATCATTTTTTTATGCGAATCTTTGCTTGAAATCTATCAAACAGATAGAATGAAAATTTGAATGCATCATGTTTATTAGAATCAATAATGCAGCTGACAATGAAAAAAAAATGACCCATTCTTTATGATTATTTAGAATAATATTTTACACTGTTTTCTTGAACAACAATGTCTGTTAAACAACCACTAAAAATACAACGTGTCTTAGTTGTCTGTCAAACATTGTCCAGTATCGCTTCTGACTAATATGCAAAAACATATAAACAGATGAACATATAAATGTAGATATAGGCATCTCTATGTTTAGCTATGGAGTACATGCGTAAAATACTAACAAGGAAGAAAACACTGCAAGTTAGTGTTTCAAAAAATGTAAGATTGCACCAGCAGAGTTAACCTTGATAGTCGCTTGTTTATTTTGAATTTCTGATTATTAAATACCATGAAGTATATGAGTTCTACATAAATTTGGAATAATCAGTTCATATATGTGGGAATATATTTAAATGACATAAAGATAAAGGTGCAAGCATTATTGTACAGGTGTATGATTGCACAGATATCGGGAATCGCATTTCTATTGAATAACAATGCATGACAAGTTGCATTGTTTTCAAGAACAAAAAAAAAACACTTTTGATGAAAATGTCAGAGAAATGACACACCTGCATATATAATATACAAATATATTTTTATTTGCAGTAGAATAAATAACTATATATAGGAAAATGTTATAAAAATAAATAATCATTTTGAATGAAGGACTTGGTAATCGTGCTTTCCAGATACGAATTTTATTCCTATTCTGATGTGAAATAAGAAATCAGCTCTGTGAACGTCTATTGAGTTCAAATTTTATTTGTTTTGGAATAATTGGTGTTATTCACGTTTTAGAATGAAAAATTCGATATTGTCAGCAATACAATAATTTTCTTCGGCACTCCCATTGATGTTCGCATATGTCGTATTTCTTATGAATGCAATTTTTAGCTGGACACTACGAACTTCAAAATGAATGCTGTTCGATATAGTTAGAAGTTCCCTTGCTACTCCAGTTTTAGTTCCTGAACAAGAAAATAGTCAATTAAAAAAAATTTAAAAAAAAATAAGAAAAACTAACGATTATTAACAGGAAAATAGCGTAAACCATATAAATCAACAAAGGTGAGTTCCATATATCCATATTGATTGCCCGAACATCGGAAATCGACCGATGCTTTATAGTGAGCAATATCAGCCGAGATTAATAATGTAAATTCATCGAAAGAAATATTTTGAGATGCACTTATCGATTGCTTTAAAGTATAAGATGGTGTCACTCGAAAATAACATTTGCCATATTGATCCGTTAAATTCTGGCTATTGTACGCAAACAAACTAATTATTCCAGGAACGGAGATATGCCAGTCAGTAAAATTTGTACTACCTTGTAATGAACACTAAAAGTAAAATAATACAAAGCGAAATATTCATCACTTAGTGACATCAGATTTTATCCGGGGTAATTCTCTGAATATGCGATATTAACTGATGCTAATGGCCGACTTTAGATACCAGTCCGAAATGATTCCGAGTTCTTTAAAAATCAATGCGCAAAACTGTAGTTTTTAATCGATGCTATCATCAACCAAATATTGGAGGTATTTGCCAATAATTTAGAATAATATTCTAATGCATCACCTAGGTTCCATTCTTGCACAAGATACTCTTTAGAAGCAGATAATATTTTTATCATACTCTTGGGTATTGCGAATCGAATTCATCGTGATACTTCTTGTCATGTATATCAACAGTGCTGTTCTCGATTACTGACAATGCTTCGCTACTCCAGAGGCATAGCATATATTTTTCTAGAAAGAAAACTATACTCATGCTTATGATACGATCAGTTCTTGGTAATAAATATGTTCCCCTGAACATTGAATCGAACTAGAATAAATTTAAAAAAAGCATTTCTAATGATTTCAAGAGGTCTTGGCTGATGTTAGAAAATAGTCACTTGGCTTTTGCTTCGATCTCTTGATTATTATGATAAGAGTTAGTTTACTAAAATATTTTAGGAGAATGTGAATAAGTGATTTTCATCAATTGACTCATCTTCTTTTAGAAAACAAACATATAAATATCTAATCCTGTTTTTCTACGGACGAGACCACCACAATGTTTCATAAAATTTTCTATTCACGTGTGCAAGAGGATAATAATGATCGAGCCATTCAAAACTCTAGAGTTAACCATATGTAATATATTTTAATCTATATGAGAAAATACCAGGACGATCGTTATATTGTAATATAAAAATAGTTAAAGCTCTTGCTTACATCTTGCTCAGCATCACCGTTAACAACTAAACTTGTCGTTCGAATAGGCCCCCATGTTCCATTGGGTAAGAGAGCATTGGTTAGTATTGATCTCTCTAATTGTTGATTTGATAGAATTGCACCTGTTAAATTTGCACTTGTAAAAGTAAGACCTTGATTAACCCAATGAGCATCCCTAAAGTTGCATCCGGCTAACGATGCTCCAGAAAAATCCGTTAGATAAAATTTTGCCTGATTGAAATTGGCCCTATCTAACAATGCAAATTTGAAAGATGTTCGAAATAGGAGTGCTTTGAAGAAAACCGTATTGTACATGAGCGAATGTGAAAAGTTCGAATAATCAATATAACAGTCAATAAATGATGCGTTGGATAAATAGACATGATGTAAATAGAGAAACTTGAATGTACATTCAACTTTTTCCGTTCGTTGAAAATAGATTCCGTTGAAATCGGCATTATTAACTTTCAACAAAGTCGTAGTTGGCTTCAATGGATTATGATGAATCAATTCACTTTCATAAAGAAACAAGAGTACATCTTTTCTTCGTTCGGAATCGAGCTGTTGAAGGCTGACTAATGTTTTCGCGCGAATATACACCAAACGTTTTGTTTCGTTATTTGACATCAATAGTTTTGTAACGTCATCAAGATAGGTAGCATAGATAGTTTCTTTATGTCGATGAGCAGTTTGATTGTCTGATTGTTCTCGTAATAGACGTGCATCCTGTTTTTCTTGTTCACGTTGTAGAGAAGACATTTTTTGTTGATGAATTGTAGTGACGACAGTAAAAATACCAATCATCAACGGTATTAATGCGGATAACAATAATTTTAACCAAACTCGATCCTTTATACTTATTGTCATTTCATCGATGTTATGAGCGTTGTTTTTGTCGTACTTTTAATTCATCTTAGAAATAGTGTTGTTTGGTTTGCTGCGCAATTGAAAGCTTATCTTCCTATGGAGAGTGTTGACATTCACTCGACTAGTAAAATATTTTATTTTTCCGTCTCTCATACTCTGTTCGGTAGGCTTTAAAATAAAGTCAGAGAAAATTGCATCGAGTTCTAAACGTGACCCGTTTCAACTATTCTTTGATGAAGTTATCAAAGAGGATGTAATTGAGATGCTGCTACGAACAAATACGTGAATGACGTAGATGTAATTATAATTTTAGTTTTGATTTCTCTGAGGCTAGGTAGTGGCCATTGTAACTTTCATTGCCTACTTCATGAATCAGAGATATTGGCATCGTATAGGGTTATTATTTACGATGTTATCTGTGGAATTAAATTTCTTCCTCACATCGACACCCTCAAGATATTTTACGATCAAAGATGACTTTACTATATGAACTATTTTTCTATTGCATTACTAAAAGATTAACTGAAAACCGATCGCTATGTGATTCGAAGTAGCAGTTAGATCATAATTCGTATGTAAGTTTCAACAGAGCGCTTGTACTGATACATTTTTCTATCAGCCATTCAATTGCAAATAGCTTAGTCTTGATCTAATTAATTTTCCGTTTCTCAATTCTATTTGATAAGAAAATCTTATTTAAATCATATTTACAATTCAAATAAAAATTTGTTTTTAACCTCTCTATTGCATTTAAAGAACATTGTTGTATGAATTCCATTACACAATCACAATTTAAGTTGTTGTTTTTTTCGTTTCTGACTACTACATATCTGACATGTTGAATTTTAGAAGTTCTCATGCATATTTGAAAGCCACTAAGACATGGCCTCTCGTAAAAATACTATTTCATTGTGAATATTTCTGATCTGATCGTTGTCCTTATCATAACAGTACCGTGCGAGTACAATAGCTTTGCAGTAACGTTCACACACATTTGTTTTTGATTCATTCATTCATCCATCATTGAGATTTTTGTTTGTTTATATCTTAAATCGTTAACTGTGCTATTGTGCGCTCGGAAATATTTTTCATGATGCCAACTCGAAATTGAGCTTTCAAATGTTCGAGACTCAACAACCACTGCTACAGCAACTAGCGCAACAACTACGACGACAACTGCGACGTCCAGTGAGAATGAGTCAGCTATTTTGTTTTTCGATGAACTGAATAGGCAACGATTGTAGCCAATATGATGAGCCTTTTCCCTCGCATATATATAGTCTCTGGATCACGAAGAAAAAATCTACTGCAATCAGATTGAAAGTAAACTCGAAATTTCTATGGATATCTGATAAGTTTTAGGAATCGTTTTGAATTTCAAGATTTGTCGATTGTTCAACTGCTAATTTTCGAATCCTAATCTGTACTAGATAACTTATCCAAAATTTTCACATAAAAGCTAATTAAACATTCTTTTGTTTTTACGTTCGTATTGATTTTTCAGGTACAACATTCGCCTTCGGTAGCTCTGAAGTAGTCCATGGTATTTGGAACACAACTGCTGGTGGTGATAGTATTCCGTGAGCAAGTGGTACTGATTCGGGCAACTATTATCCATCGGAAGTACCATATTATGCGTGAGATAATTATTTGAGCGCCATTTATACCTATTTTGGCACATGAGATTTTTGCTTGGTTGGAACTACGTGCTGACAGAATACTGGTTTCTATCTAACACTACAGTATGAATCATTAGTAATCAGAGGTCTGCAAGTTTGCACGAACACTTCAATTCCAGAACGCGATTTGATGAATGTAACACTTGACGGAAGTAATCAGTCTAATTCTTCACTGCATTTACGTTCAAGTGGTCTTGATTCTGATCCAGGTCGAAGCGCTTGTGGAACAACACAGTTCCTCACTAATAACTCGATTTTGTACTCTAGCTGCCAGTTTCTCGTCACTTCAAAACGTCGTATTCACGCAGGAACATGGTACTCTGAAGTTTGACTTATTTCTTGCTATGATACTTCTTGATAAAACAGACTTAGCACGTTTTATTTTGAAATTTTAAGTAGATGTATTATTTAGTTTTTCAATAAATTTTTTTTTCATTTTATACAAGAGAAATATAGACCGGAGATTTATAGAAACTAGTGCTAATCGCTTTTTTGGAGGTTCCTGAAAATGATCTTTGTAAAACATAAAACGGAAAGTGTGAAACCACAGACACCCTGGCTGGTTAAGCTTTACTATCACTACTAATGTTGATCCTTAATTCTATTTAAAAGAATATGAATAGGAATTGTCACTGATTTATTTTATTGATTAAAAGACAGAAAAAATAATAATAATAATAATAAACATATTTACACAACTGATCCTACAGGCTCTCCTAGATGATGTTCGGATGAATTATTGTAAATTTTTTCAAAACGTTCCAAATATTTATTAATATCATTCATTGATAGATTATGATGATAATCTTGTTTCGTAAGAATTTTTTCATTGGAATATAACGATGGAGGTGGAATGTGAATTTGTTCTAAAAGTGTTCGTTGATTATCATTTGAAACCGTCGGATAGATTCGTTGTTCTCGATTAACAACACGAGGCAATGACGTCGTTGTTGTAATCTAAAAAGAAGATTCTTTCGTGCCATTTTGTTTTTCGTTTACTAAAATTTCTTACATATTCATTGTCAATAAGACAACTATCGGGTGTTGTTGGTGACAGATTTGACATCGATTTTTGTGCTGATAATTGGCATTGAACACAAGCCAATGAAAGTATGATAATAATAATAATTAGAATCACTATTGAAATTATACAAGCACTAATTAAAATAAATGTCGTTGAAATATTCATTGGAATTTCTTGACGATCTATTTCTTCATTTAATATAACATCAAATACGATTCGTTGTCGAGTTATTAAACGATTTGGCTGCCCGAAATCAGTTAAAATTACTGTAAAATTATATGTGGATTGATTGATGTTCTTTAAAAATATTCGACCTGTATAACGTTCGATTTCGAGATTTCCTAGAGAATCGATTTGATATTCAATCGACGGTGGTAATGAATTCGACCGTTGATCAAATGCTAGATCAGGATCATAAGCTTGAATTTGATACATAACGTCCGATGACGAAATTTCAATCGATTGTCGTGTTAAATTATTCGATAATCGAGGTGATTGTTGATTGATTCCAAAATAAATACGAATTGGTACTGAACAACTTAACGATGATATTTGAGAATCAATAGCTTCAATATAAAAATCATAAAAATACGATAAAAATAATAATGACGATCGAACTGTGATTGAAGCATTTTTTTCATCAATTGTAATATCATCGGGTTTCGATGATTTATATTTTACATTCGATGGTAATAATGGAAGAACAAATTGAGATATATTATTACTTGTTAATGTATAGAACGATTGAGAAAAATACGGATAAGCATTTAATAGTGAATATGGATCGTAAATATGTATTCGAAGTTTCATTGAACATGGATTAATCTATTTGTCAGAGAACAAAAAAATAGATTTTAATTAACTTAACCAATAAGAAGAATACAGGTTTTCGATCATGACTTCGGAAATGGAGAGGAGTAGACTACTTTTGATCTGTTCGATAATAACCAGATAAATAGGGTCGATTATCTTAGTAGAAAATTATTTTTTCTCAACTGACCATTCCCTCTTGATAAGAACTTCGATAAAATATCAGCAGTCCTAGAGGTTTATTTAAAGAAAAATGGTTCTTACTTCATCTGTTTGATTATTTTCAAGAGTTAATTCATAATTTGATTGTTGCTTAATATTTAAATATTTTCTTGCGATTAAATTATTATTTTTATCTATATCAAATGTATTTGTTGAATCGATTAATATTAATTCGTTCGTTTGATTATTTAGACACGAATGAAAATAATTTTGTAAAGGAATTTTTTCGTTTAAGAAAATATTTTCTTGTATTTTAATAAATATTAAATTTGAATTTTTCAATAATTTTTCTTTATTTAAATTAAATACAAACGAATAATTTTTTGTTGATACGATTAACGGATTACTTTCATCGGAAACATGAATAGTAATATGTACGGGTAAATTTTCATTTCTAATTAAATTATTCGATAAAATTCGTATTAATAAAATTGAATTTAAATTTAGATACAAATCTTTCGTTGTTTCATGTAAATAGAATAGATCATTTAATGATGTTTGCAATTGAATTGAACAATTCACACAAGTTCTTCTTGCTTGTCTATCGAAAATCGCCAATTGGCCAATAGGTAAATCAAGACTTTCAATCGAAATAAAATTTTTTTTTTCATCATCTACTTTCAAGTTAATATCAAATAAAAATGTGAATTTAAATTCAACAATGCATTGAGTTGATAAACGATATGGTTTACCAAAATCGGTTATATTAATAAATAATTTTGATTGTTTTGTACGTATCCATTGTGTATAATTGAATATAATTTGACCATTAAAACGATCGATAACAAAGCCCGGTAATGGGTTTATAAGACTATATTCCAATTTTCCATTATCATTTTCATCGATATCAGTTACATTAAGTTTAAATATCGATAACGAATGAAAATTATTGATAGAAAATAACATTTCATTATGTTCACAACGAGGTGGATTATCATTAATATCTTTAATAATAACAATGACATCAATAGAAACATCCCTTTGATCTTTATTTTCAGCTCGAAGACGAAGTAAATAAAGACTTTGTTGTTCGCGATCGAATTTTTTCAATGGTTTTAATAATAAATTATTATTATTATTTGTATCTAATTCAAATAAGCCAGTTGGTTCATTCCAATTATGAAGATAAAGCGAATATGTTATTAAATCGCCATCCGCATCAGTAGCATGTGGTAATGAATATGCTGTACTAAACCAATATTCGTCATGTTCATCGATTTCAACAGTTGTTCGATTCACAGAAAATTTTATTGGATTATCATTGATATTTAGTATACGAATAGGAAGAATGTAAACATAAATAGTATCATGAATAGATACAGCGATACTTATTGGAATACGACACGGTAGAGAGCTGATGTTGAAACAAATTTGTTCGTAATCTATACGTCGTTTTACATTAACTGTATGACGCCGATTATCAATTGAGAAAACGTCAAGATCCGACGAGGGCGGTCGAACAAGATCATATTCGGATGACTGATCTAAATGTGGAATTTTATCATTTAAAAATGTAACGATGGCACCAATGGATAATTCTTCGTTGATTGAAATTTCATTGAGTTGTTTCATTGTTTGACAATGAATTGATGATATGAATATAATAAACACCAGTAATAAGTTCATGTTTTATCTGAAGAAGAAAAAATTCGATAGGTTCAAGTCAATTGTTCTCAGCGCGATATTTATGATCGACACAAAATATTAGTAAAGCTTAATTGATGAGAAATTCTTCTACGAATAACCTTCTGAAATCGACAACATGGCAGACGAAAACAAACGGCCTTATCGAAACATATCCTTTTATGTTGGCTCTAAGTAAATATCGTGATTAAACTTGACATCACAATTGAAAGATTCTGTTCAATAGAATATTACAAAATTTTATACTATTAGTCAATCGAACAAAATCTTGCCTGAGTCATAAATTGCTTAATGGCATTAAATTCAAACTGTTACGAATGACTTTTACAATAGAGTAATATGACCTGTAGATAACAAAAAAAGTCGTTCAAAGTCATATTTCTATTTATTTTACTTACCAGCATTCAACTCGATTTTTATTTTTTTTTTTTTAAGACAAAAAATGATTCTATATATGCACTTTAATGGAGATAAGCTTAACACGAAAAACTCCGTAACAGAATGATTATAATTGGCTTCGTAGTGTGCGTGTCACAGTGGAACAATTCAATCTGAATTCTCTGCACATGTTCTCTCTCCTTCTAATTACAATTTATTCGATTGGAAGAAGAGATATCGGATCAATTTAGTGGGTAATTCACCTTAGAACAAAAAAAAAATGAATGTCTCTCTCTTCATTGTGAAAAAAAAACTTAATAATAAAGCTGCGATAAATAAAGTCTATCATTCCAGTATGAAGGCACGTGTTTGTCATCTATCGTCACTTTATCGTCTTATCCGGTCTATGTCTCCTCTTCACACATCTTCAAATATATGAATATTCATTCATATTTTCGTTTGGGATTTTAACAGCTTTTCCTCCTTCTTTGTTTAAATTGAGCAAGTGTGACTAAGCTCACCGGCGTCGCCATTCTATTGCTCATATGCAAATCAATACAGAGAAGAAAAAAAGGCAACAGCGAAATTAAAAATGCGGTACGGAAGTAACTTCTTTCGCTTTTCTCTTTTTTGTTACTTGCTAAATCACCAGCAAACGTTGTTCATCATCAACATCTTCATGTCAATCTGATCGTTCGATAAGATGAAAAGAACAAGGAGGAGATCAAGAATTAGTAGTAAATCGTTATTCTCGAATAAAGTTAAACCATGAAAATTTTCTATTGATCAACACTATCAAGAGTTCAAGAGAGCTTTTCTTCTTTCTACGAGTCAATTTCCGAGTATCCAACGTCCGTCGATACTCAACGGATTAAAACAATTATATATCAATAGAAGAAAAAAGAGACCCTATTCAACTATAAGCGATACAAAAAACTTGTCTACGCTAAAGTTCAAAAAAGCCTACGAACCAATCGTGCCTATGAGATCGAACGAACGAACAAATAAATTAATTCTATTCTAATTAAATTTTTTGTTTTTCTGAAGAGAGAAGTCTGAAAAAGTAAAAGAAAATATTGTGATAGAAGTTTGATTCGATTAAAAAGACGAATGAAGTAAAAATATATTTGTTTATCAATAATTTGAACGGCGTTGAACATAGAGAAACCTGATTCTTTCTCTTATTCTGTAATGGATCACATACATACGAAGACAAATACAACCACACGATGTTTGTTGATTTAATATGATGAAACGTGACATATGATGAGTATAGAAAACAAACGCATCGTATGTCAAAGAAAAAAAAACTACAGAAAGTTTCTCTAAAAAATATTCTCTCTCTCTCTCTCTCTGAGAAAAAAAATGGCAAAATAAACGTTTTTATACCTTTTCTTTTAAGTTGAATGAGACTTGTACTTATGTACATTACTTACACAATCAGTCTGTCTGTGCTCAATGGGGCGTCATCTCTGTCGTTCAATCGCTGTCGTCCCATATATAACAATGCATATATACAGGTATACATACATAGACTTACTCGCAGTATATAATGACGAGAATTGTTCTGACAAAACATACACATTTTTCAAGTATCGATGCCGAGAAAAGGGCCCGCCTGTATTATCGCGATAATGGATAATTCAAGAGACTTGAAAATACATACAGAACAGCAATTGAATGAGTGACTCAATCAACCGCCACAAATTTATGTTCTCTCTTTCTTTTCTTTTTACATTTGATCTAAAAAATTATAGACTCGTTCTCTCTCTCTCTCTCTCTATTATTTCTGGTTGTATGAGTATTCTCTTAATCACAGCCAATCAGCTCACATGAGATTGAACACCTGAATGAAAATAGATATTTTAGTGATATAGAAGCATGACTTGACAAATATGTTAACCAGATGAATGAACAGGGTAGGCTAATAATTAGTACGATCGTTCTTCCGCTATTCTCTCATGACAAGTTCATAGAGAAAAAAAAGCAAAGCGACTTTTCTTTATTCTGTCATTGATCATGGCGAGTTTTAATCGACTTTGCCTACACACATAATATTCCATAGAGATCGTCATGAACACGCATGTCTCATTTACATGAATAGTGCCGTATATCTAAATAAATCGATTTGTCAATTTTTATACGCTAAAAATTTATAACATAAACTTCGATATGGCAGTTTGTAGAGATTAATCCACTTATGAATCAGTGAATCTAATAGCTTAAGCAATTGATGAGTATGTACATAAATGTTTATATATATAATAAGTATATCGTAGTAAGTTGAAGTGAGTATCATTAAAAATAAAGAGGAAACAAGTGGGTGTGGTGAAATGGTACAGATGTATATTTATTGTTTGTTCGGATGATAGTTGCCTCGAGCTAAGATCTTCAAAAAAAAAGCAACAACACATTGTGAAGAGAAAAATCAGCATGTCATAACATACGACAGATTAGAAAACAGAAGCTATAATTATTACTGAATGAGAATAATGAACGCACGCGATCATTCTTTTGATGACAAATATTCAAAGTGACTTTCGATCTGCTCGTTATAAATATATATTTAAAAGTCACACACGAAATAAAATGCATCGATTATGTGTTCATAATTACGTCATGGGATTTGAGGTTTATTTTCATAGGGAAAATAAATAACGTTTGAAATTAATCTGATGAAAAATGTCTTGGCGTTTTATTTTTTGTAAACGAAATATTTTACAATAAAATTTCTGCGAGAGAAAGAATTGGATTTTATACGTTTTAGTACAAGCTAATCTTAGGAACTTTAAAATCGAAAAATTCTATTGTAAAGATTATGATGTTTTTTTTTGTGTGAGCATGCATAAATTCTGTTTATTATCCTAAAATAAATGCGAAAACATCGGATTTACATCCGATTGTTATGTGTGTACTGCAGAAACTGAGTCGATTTATATATGCTGTGAATAATTCTGAGAAAAAAGTTTTTTTTGGCGGACCCTTCTCATCTTCGAACGCGACTCAGATATTAATGAGAGCATTCTGTGCACAAAATTTCATGACAATTGGATGAGGCTTTCAAAGGTTATCGTGTTAACAGACGGACATACTGACAGAATCTAGAGTGTACTTACTTTTTGAATACACAAAACTATAGTGTATTTGTAGCAGTCTTTTCAAGTCGCAAAACACGATATATTAAATCGACGTTGACTTTTTATGAGAATAAGAAAATCTATTCTCGGACAAACAAAAGCATTTTAATGTTCTCTAGAAGTGATATCAAAGTCACATAACCATTTTGTTGAAAATGATTCAATTCCAAACACTTACAATGAACCCATCGAAATACATTGCAAATGTTATCAACGTTATATGCGAATTTGAATAAAAGATTTCAACTGTATTTTTTATGACCGATTTTTGTAACATCGAGTGCAAGATAGATATTCACATATCATGTTTTGTGTTTGATACATTCAAAAGACAGCGGGTTTATCGAATTATGTAAGACTTCACAAGACGTTATCGAATATTTGAAAAAAATGCAAAGTCATCGCAAATAAATCGAACTTGTTGTAAATCACAGAATAGCTCAAATAGCCACCCGAACTCATCGTAATTCACTGTTTTAGAGGTGATTTGAATTATTTATTTCCCTGTGGTTGTGTAGCTAAATTGATACATTAAATTTGGTCAACACCAAATGAATTATTTTTAAGCTTATGAAGAAGTGTTAAACAGGAAAAATGATCATATTTTCTTTTCAATAGAAAATAAATATACTAAAAGCATGAATTTAAAACGTTTTATTAGGTGCGTACGTCGTTATATGAAAGGAGTATACGTTTAAAAAACAAGCTACCCTTCAAACTATCGTGTTACAAACGAAAAACACAGTAATAACCGTTTATAACTTAATTAAGCCGAGAGATCATCGTTAAGATTATCTGAGATATGTGCAAGATGTGTTAAAATTTATCAATAAAAACTACCTTCTATCTTCAGAACATCTATTCGATGCAACACTATCACATTTCCATGAAATGTTTTTCACAGGTAATAGACTGCTCCTCTGCCATTGATTGGTTTTTACCGCAGGTAAACTAACGAAATATTTCTTCATGTACTATTTTGTTTATAAATCTGAATAGACAATTTTTTTTGATGATAATAATAATAGTTATTATTAGGCGAACTATCAGCTTTTTTTCTTCGTCTCATTCTGAATAATTATATTGATGCGCGCAAAACAAAAGAATGCATTTGATGATGAGTTTCTTGTTTGTTTTTACACAATGGGCTGTGAATTTAATGGAAAAGAAAAAAAACATGAGAAGAAAAAAAGAGTAAAAAAAACAAGCACATCATCATCATCATCATCGTCATCATCATCACTATTATTGTTTATAATCGTAGTGGTTCATAGTGTTAACAAAAATAGAGGTGTTGCTGCTGTTGTTGATATTTAGATATCACTTTTGTATTCGCTTTCAACAATTTTATAAATTATATATGAAGGTGTTTGGGGTTTAATTGGCAGAGCGAATTGTTCGGCGAATTCCAATATAGCCGTATAAGCAAAGAATACCGATGAGAAGAGCATGACTGAACACCATCTGTACTCCACCGCCGCTGATGCTGTTTGCTGTTCGAACGGCATTAACCCATTGTTCTAAACAAAATTATGTGAAGGAAATATTTCAAAAAGAAAAAAGAAAACAATAATATCTGTACTTGTAAAAACAGCTAATGCAATTGTGGTGGCAAAAAGACCCCAAATAGCAGCGAGAAGTAGACAGCAGGCACAAGCTGCAAGGCCACCGACTGGGCCGAGTGCAGCAGCTAAAGGATTAACCATTATTGAGTGTTTAGTTTACACACGCACACACACTCGGTTATCTATAGTATAACAAAAAAAGAAAAATATTATTCATCTGTAAGGGTCAGTTTTCATGGCTGTATGTTTTTTTTTCTTTAACACTAGCAAGTACGAGCAGAAAATGGACATTCACACGCTTTGATAGACAAGAAAGGAGGTGCAAAAAGAGAGAGAGAGAGAGAGAAAGAAAGAGAGTAAGCAGCAGCAGAAGAAAAAATATGAGAAAAATAAGTTTGTTTTCATGTAGCTTAACTACCTATATGAATAGAAGAGCTTCCTACTCCCTTTGAATATCGTCATATAGAGGTGGGCAATACAAGTTTCTCTCTCTCTCTTTCTCATATCTACACTTTTTTCCTCTCGTTTTTTTTTTTGTCAGGCATATCTATCGACTCAAGGTAATATTGCATTCAAAGTATCTACCTTAGTGAGTGCTTCTGAAAAAAATCAAAGATGAGGTTTTTTTTCTCATTTATGTGTCTATTCAACCGTGTACATATACGACTACAAACCCTTCCAAAAAAATATACAGGACAAGAAAAAGAAAAAAAATATCATCGATAGAAACATATAGTACATATTAATACAAACTCAAAAAGAACGAACAAGAATATGGTGCGGAAACCATGCATGACAAAATGAAACACACACACACACCATCAATACATGAGATTGTTAAATAGAGAGCAGGAAAATATCTCGTAGAAAATATGGATAAATAAACACATAGATTTGCATTTAGTATGAAGAAGTTTTTTAATCTTGTCAAACAAAGTGATTTATTCAAGGTCATTTTGATGACGACAATGATAATAAGCGAGTAATGTGTCGCATATGATTTTTTTGCATGCTCTTAATTTTATATTAAACGATAAAGTGGCGTCCGAATATTTATTTGAATATTATTGGTGATATAGGGACATGAAAAAAACAGAAAAATTTAGATAAATAAAAAGATGGCATAGAAGAAAAAACGAAAAGAAAACATTGAGCATCGGCCACGTTTGCTATTTGGATTACACATGAATTAAGATTGTTGTTGTCGTCGTCGTCGTCGTCATCGTCGTTGTCATGTTTTTTTGCTGTTTTAGAAAAAAAATTAAATGATGCGTATCGCGCGCGCGTTCCGTGGTTTCGTCAATAAGAAAAGAGAGAAAAAAAGACGAGAAATTAAAATTCGTTGTGTTGCAAAAGAAAAAAGTATGAACAAAAAAAGTCAAGCCATTTTGTTGTGTTTGTATATTAAAGAAATAACACCTTCGATAGTAGAAAGATCAAGTCGTCGTTTAGTGATCTATGAGCGACGCATGAACGTGAACAAAAACGAACATACGAGCACTACTAAAAGAAGCATATGTGGAGCAACAAGTTCTTCGGCGCCGTTTTGACCATTGCGACTCTTAAAAGCTTGTAACCATTTACCTGGAATAGATTTTAAGAGAAATTTATAAAGAAACATATATATACATATATATGTATAATAATAAGAACTTACTGATAAAGACAGTCAATGGGATGGCCGTGATAAATAGACCCCAAATACCGATTGTATTGAGACAGCATAAACAGCCAGTAAGACCACCAATGGGTCCAAGAATGGCTGCAAGAAGACCAGCACCACCGGGTCCTGAACCAGCTGGTACTACTGGTCGAAGGGGTGGTCTGTAGCCACCTCTTGGTCGAAGTGGTGCTCTGTAGCCACCTGTTGGTCGAACATAAGATGAACGATAGATACCACGTGCCCCACGAGAACTAGGCACATATTCTATAAAAATAGATAATCGATATGTTCAGAAGAAAAAACCTAAATAGATGAATTGTTTGTTTTTACGCACGTGGTCGTGATCCGGTAAATCCGTCCGAATGTTGAAGCATAGCCGCAGATCAGCAGGCGGTCTATTACTTTTCTAGAATAAGATAAAAGCGTTCGATATAAACAACAACTATAAAGAACTCAATGATTATGCTGATGATCAACAACAAACAAACAACTGGACTTAAAACATAAGAGAGAAAGAGAAAAAAATAGGAAAAAAAGAAATACAAAAAAAGCCCTTTTCTCTATCTTGATGAGCTTCTGTAAGGCTGTTTTAATTTTCTTACTGTCTATTTTCCCTCTGCTGTCCTCCGAATGTCTCTCTCTCTCTCTCTGTCTCTTTCTCTTTCTCTCTTCCTCTCTCTCCTTCTTTCTTATTGATACTGAATGAAGTAAAAGCAACCACTATGTCGTATATCTATCTCTACAGTGTATACATCCATCGCAAAAGGTACTATAGAGAGCAAACGAGAGCGAGAGAGAGAGAGAGCGAGAGAGGGGGAGAAGAGAACGAGGAAAAGAGAAAAAGGCATGATAAATTATACAATACCCAAAAAAAAGGCAAGAGAAGAACGCGTCACACGTCAGCAAGCAGCTCGCGATAGTGCTAATTTCTGTTGACTATAATGATACATTTAGAAAATAAAACCATGACTTGTACGATTTTATATATCAGGAATAGCGCGAAACAACATACACGATTAATAATGTATATATTATGCATGTACAACTGCCTACCTAAGTGCAACAAATTTGCGCAAGGTTAGAAAAAAAGCGACATAGATTGGAAAGAAGGATGACGCGTGAAAGCGTGGGCGCATTCACTACTGCGTCAACGCTTCGATGGTTTCTTTTAATTTATTATAAGAAAATGTTTATGCACGTTTATATGTATAAGTATGCAACAATACGAATAAAATAAAATAATAAGATAAATATTTGAAAATTCGATGAAAATTGTTTTTATTTAGATAGAGAAAGAAAGGAGGCAAATTGTTATATGTGTTTACGAGAATTTTTCGTTCAAAGTTAATTTTATGGTTTCCTTGGAACTTTTGTAGTAGTACGAGCAGTAGAAACTTGACGTTTAGTAGTTGGTGTTCGAGGAGTCGAAACTACTTTCTGTTTCTTGACGTGGTATTTGTGGAGCTCGATTGGCATTAATGATGTTGTCGATAGTGTTTGGAAGAGTGTTACCAGGACGTGCACCTAGAACAGGTGAATTATTTCCTGGGACTTCGTTCAAGTCAGACTAATCTTTATTTATTATCTTTAAAAAAATATATCTGTACCATTTGTATTCATTGGAGCTGCACTATTTGGTTTGTTGCCGACTAAAATAAAATTAAGAAATTGTTTTCATCAATTATCACACATTTTATATCACCATTACTTTTTGAAGCAACTGCATTTTTTGGACGACCTAAATAAATGTATATATATATATATAGTCATTTTCTTCAAATAAAACTTTATTTTAGAATTTCTTTACCATTTGCTGAATTTACTGATTGAATTCCAAAGCATAAATAGAATTGTTTTATTACAAAAAAAGCGTATGAAATATTTAACTAACCTGCTTGATTTGTTCGTATTGTTGCCATTCCATTTTCTATTGGTCGCATATTATTGATAGGTGGTTCTTGATAAAATACAAATGGCAGAAATAAAAAGATAATAATCACTTACGAGTTGTTGTTGCTAGTTTACGAGTTGTTGTTCCTGGTTTAGCAGTTGGTTTATCTATAAAAAAAATAAAGAGAATTAATTTTTGTCGAAAACATTCACCGAGAAAAATTACTGTTGGTGCTGTTATTCATCAACATAGGACAGGATGAATAGCAAGTAAATTTTGAGAGTGCTTTAGCCACTTGTCCAACCGTTGAATCGTATATTTTACAAATAGCCAGTTGAGAAGCCGGCAAACATCGTGGACATATTTGTCGTAAACATGAAGCCATTTCTTGATTGCAGGTTTCACGTTTAAACATGCATGATTTGAAGCACAGACGATGAAGACAAGTACATTCTTTGTATTGTTGTTCGTAACATCGAAGTGATACAAATGAACGTCCATGTCGTTCCCAAAATGGACATGGTCCGGTGGTACATGATGTTTTACCACTAACAGCTCGTAAATAATCATAAGGTGATTTTCCTACTGCTGCTTTCGGTGTAAGATGTACAGCGTTAACTTGGTCAACACGACCTGTTATATTAGTTGCAGCTGCATTAATCGCAACAATAAAAACACAAAATAAAAGTACTAGACTAATATGCATGTTTTCTATTTTCAAAGTCTCTTGAAAACTGATTGATGTAAATGAATAGAGACTAATAAAAAACAAGAATGTTAAAGATTTCAGGTTCTAGAGACGACGTTTATATCTAGACGGTTTTTGCCTTGTTCTCATGAGGATTAGTTATGTACGTGAAAGAACGTCGTTTTTACCACAATTTGGAAGGCGTAAACACAAGTATACGAAGAAGCCACAATTAAGTCATTGGCTTGACCTTTCGACACTCTACTTATACTGATTATGAAATGAAAGAAAAAATGTTTATCCCACATATTTTAGATTTAAAATTTTTTCACTTGCATGAATATGGATTTAAAACACAAAACAAAAACGTGTTACAACATTGTTTTTGAATGAAAAGGTCGTTCATTTTCTTATCATTAGTATTCTTAATAGTAAAAAGAAGAAATCAAGAAAATTTGCTAAATCGAAAACAAAGCACAACGGTCAAAGTTAAGCTATAGAATCGAATCTAAATAACAACAAAACAATGATTTCAAATGTCAAAGTAGTGCCGCGAATAAATCCAGCAAGGTCGTTTTTCTTGTTATGCCCTACGACTTTCAAAGTAAGATTTCCGCATAGGCTATGGCACAAAAATCTTGATACAAAATATTTACTCATTACAATACGGTTGGATAGACGGTTAGATAAAATCGGATTTTTCGCTCTTTGCAGTATAGATGTTGCCAATTTTGTTTGGGTTTAAGACAAAATATCAAGCAACTTCAAGAAGTAATATATTCTCCGAGCACAAACTTCATTCCGAGATACAAGTAACTCTTTAAGTAAAGCTACTACTTGTCTCCGCATAATTCTTTCATACTAATCATTTAATTTATTTTCATAAGGTTTGGAACTGCTAAATCAAATAGCAACGTAAAGGAAACACAAATATTTTTCTCACAATCACGGCTGCGGTGGACGTTATGTTCCGACCTAGTAACGCTTCGAATTTTCTCCCGATAATTTACGCCTTTTTCTTATTAGAAAAAGAAGTAGGAAGTTGCTGGAAAACATTCTCTGACTTTCATATTCAATCGATTTTCTGTCGGAATTGACCTGCATTGCTGACCCGGGGTAGGAATTAGACGTGTAACGGAGAGAAAAAAGAGTGATACTTAAAATGATAGACAACAAAATTTGGATATAACTCTCAATTATTGTAGTAGCACAGATAATAGCCAATCTTCTGATTCTGAACGAACTCCATTTTTTTGCTCTTTTGATATGTAACAAACGTATTTTTCATGAATCTAATCGAATGAAATTATAAAATAATCTCGATGAATAAGAAGCACTTTTAATTTGCAAAGATATTATTGTTAGTAATACGAGGAAATGAGAGCAACAAGGAGAATGTGATTGATGGTTTCAAGGATACAATAGCTAAATATGACGTGGTAAAGAAATCGTTATAAGTAACTTATAGAATTATTAAATATGTGAACATAAATTTAAAGAACGCATTGTAAATAAATACTGCAAGTCTCGTAAGCACAATCGTTGACATGAAGTATAATATTACAGCAGCAAAAAATGATATATCAAGGTTAATATCATTTGATCAACTCAATGATATTCAGTTAAAAACATGAAAATCGTATTTACTATTGTTCAAGTTTCTTGAAAGAAGATAAGTGGGAATATGTGATTCGATCTGGATACTCATCTCGTAACAATGTTTACGGCTCTCTAGTCTTATATATCAGACTGAAATTTTGAATCATTTTTTTATGCAATAAAAGATGCAAATTATACACTGTGTAGCCTAAAGTCATAGAGACAACACAATCCGTTGAAATTAGCATTCTTTAAAAATGAAATGAAAGTTGACTTGTACTAATTTTAATCAATAGAGCTAATGAACCATTTTACGTATGGATTCTATTTATCTTAAAATTTTCAATGGTTGGTTGACAGGATGAATACTCTTGATTCCAGACAGATATGGAAACCGTATTTTTCTTTCTATGGATCTCGTTATCAAGGCGAAAAGAATTGGTGCGGAAAATTTTGCATCCCAGTTTTTTTTCTGTAGTGTGTAAATAAATGACTCGAATTTTATTGGACGCCAAACACCAAGCTAGTTCGCTTCGTCGAGTTGCAAAGCTTGTCTATTGATACAATTCGCGCGAATTCATACTATCAAACTGGAATAACTTTTCATTGTATAAGATTTTCCCGTATACTGGAATTTGGTTATTGTAAGAAGACTGCCATAGTTGCGATTTGGATAGACGCAATTCTTCCTCTATTTATTCACAATGAAACTTTAATAGAATCTCAGAAAAAGTTTGTTTGCCAGTTAAATGTTCCACGGTGTTAAATTTTCAAACAATGCGATTGTTTCAAACAGAGTAAAAACAACAATTTTGCATTATACCGCCAATTGATTTATCCTGAGAACTAAAAAACAATTATCTGTAACTTGGTTCAATCACACAACGCGCACGGGAGATGCAGATGAATAATTTATTATTGTTTTTAGTCTTTTAAATCCTACACAAAAAATTTGATTGATGCCGTCAACGCTAAGACATAGTGCACTTAAGGCTTAATAGACAATTACAATGGATATCATTGTAATAGTTCTTTTAATATTGTTCCTTGTAAAATTCGGAAACAGAGAGAGAATAGAGATTGATTCTTGATTTTATTTGTTGACGTCGCACCGATCGGAGTATTTATAAACGTGTAACTATCAGAGGAAACTTTATTTTAATTTCATTCAGCATCAACACATATTATTAGTGTGATCAACACCATGCGTTTTTATCAGTACATCCTTACCGCTGCTATAGTTATGCAGGTTAGTAAACTAGATATAATATTGTCATCAATTGAATATTTCTTTCTTTCAATAGTTATTTATTTCATGTTGGGCTCGAGCAACAGTTGTATCTGATTCTTGGCCAGCAGTGTCAGCTTACTTGAATGACATAGAAGAAAATTCTAGCAACGAAAACAGCGCCCTTCATGACAATGATCTAGTTGAACGAAGTAATCCTTTGACATTGAAGACCAAAAAAGCATTACGAAGTGGCTTGTATTTTGGCAACGAAGAAAGACGGAATAAATATTTTGGAGAAGCAGGAAATTTCCATGGTGGTCACAGTCTTCAAGGACTTTGGGCAATGCCAGGACGACGTTAACTATTGAACAGCTTAACGAAAATGCGTGACTTGATTTCAAGAAATATATAACCTTTGGTAGTTTTGTTCTATCACGGTAACTTAAAAATAATCAAGAGCGTTATCGAAGGGGAGATTTTGCTTTGAAATAAAAATAATAAAACGAACTCTGTTTGATTTATTATCTGTACATTATTAATTAGCTAGTCTGGCGTATACTCGAACGAGTACTCTTATGATCTCATGTTCAGAAATTTACCTTGAAACAATCAGTTGTATCAAATCAAATGATTATAGTAAAGTTTGAAAAAAATACTTAATTGTTTACTTGACATTTTACACCATCGAACATCCATTCAATTAGCCCAAGACAGTTTTTCTTGGGGATAGAAATAGAGTTTTTTAGAAGATCGGCAAATCTTATCATATATGTCGGTATACTATTCAATGGGCTACATTTCTTTTCTTGTGATAGTAGGCATGAAGTGTATACAGTCGATATTTTATTCATGTAATTTTTTGTTATTGGCGTCTGATTTATCAGATACATCGGTTTTAACAAAATTCATGTGTTGAACCGAAGAAACTAAACGGCTAATACGTTTAATATTAAAATTTAGTAGAACTGATCAAGGACACAAGAAAGAATATAAATAATGAGCTCGCAACATGTCATAGATAGCTTGGAGACATGGTAATATTTGTTTAGCTGAAACTATGAAAGACCCTAAAGTGTAAAACACAGGGAATTCATATCTGCGTATATATCTTCATAAAAACAGCAGACAATAGCCTCCTACACTTATCGGGCGCAGGCTTTTGTTCGTTGAACGCAGGTTGTCAAGAGTTCGACAATATAATTTATTGTTCAGTTAAAATAGCACCTTAAATATCTATTCGTTTGTTTCCAGTGAATAATAAAAAGATCGATAATACGAATAACAAAGCTGATGTAGGACTCGAAGTCAAGAAAATCTGTAAACGAATCTTTGGATTATGCTGTTGTTGACGCGCATATTCCACCTACAGTTTCAAATTAGAGATGCCCACGTTTTTAGTTTCTATTGACAAAGCTGCGTGGAATTCTAGATTCTTCAATCTTATAAATACTATCTTTTCGAATATATTCGTTAACGGAAGTTACAAAAATGAATCACTGACAATGCATATAATCGTTTAATAGCTAACAGTCAATAATAGGAAAAAGAAATGCTATTCGTTTTTGTGAAATCCATATGAATTTCATTCACGTAATCATTTGTTGACATCATTCTTTTTAAAACAAAGCATCAGTGCAACGTTCAAGTAAAATCTTTGCTGTATTCATACAGGAGTGAAGTTTTTCGACATAAATAACTGAAAAATATTTACTCAAGTATCTTTTATTGATCATGAGCTTTACCGACAATGATTCGTTTGCATTTGTAAAAGAGTTGAACGTACAGATGAAGGAAGGAGTTTTGAATTAAAAGGTTATTTTTCTTTGATTATGAGGTGTCTTTTAAATTATTTGGCAATACAACTTCTTGGATAGTGTCTTCTAGTGGTATTGAACAAAACGAATCGGCACATCATTACCACATCAATAATTAGATGAACAAGAAACTGTTGCGAACAGACAAATTATTCGAAAATTTAGGAATCTTTGACAACTTGAATAGAAAATGACAAACCAATCTATTTGACAAAGACATTGATTTCAACTCAAAAAAAAAACTTTTTCTTTTAAATTATTACTTAGATTTTTAATAGTCGATTTCTGAACATTTTATAGTTACTATCATATATTGTAAAATCTATTTTTTCAGTTATTCTTTGCATGAATCTAACTGAAGAGAGGTTATCTGTATGTAAAACCAATATTCTTTAGGATCTATCCAACAAATGAAAACTCTTGGAGAAATATTCTTTTTTTAAAAATTTTATTAGCAAAGATAATTAATTGGATTCATTTAAGTTGAAACAGCAGGTTATAGAACATACAGATATGGTATCTGAAAAATCATTCTAAATATCTTCCATATCATAGATATTTAAATATTATACAATCGGATACAAGAAAAAAAACAAATCTGCACATTGCTCTGTCAATCGAAGCAATCTCGTATGAATAGAAATAATTAAGCACAGGGGTTGAGTTTGCATATTTTTCATTTTTTGTTCTATCTAGATGAATAATTTTGGCAATAAATGAAATAATCATTCTCTGACTAAAATTTCTTTAATTCTTTGATAATATACAATGTCTAGCAGTGTTGATAGAATTTTGATTAACAGAAATATTGAAAACAACAATCTTTAATGTATGGTAAACACTTGAGCTATCGCGGATAAAAAATTCACTATCTATGCTTAAACATATAGGAACAAGTAAATTTGATATAATAAAAAGTTTGTGAGGTTCCTTGAAAATCATCGTCATACAGAATGTATTGAGAAAACAAATTGCAATTAAAAGGCATTGTAATGGAAACAGAGCGTCATTAGATGATCTTTTTACATGTCTATTATTTTCTAAGACATGAGCTACAATGTAATTTAAATTTAAATTCAAAATCGGAAACCAGCATTTTTGACAAGTCATATCATTTCTGCCAATATTATGTTTATAATATGACCTTAGATCTCTTAATTCTTTCGTAAATCTATTCAATTCTTCTCTCTCCATTTCTAATTCTTTCGTGAAGTATTCATGTTTAGAGTGAACAGTTTCGATCATAGGATAAATCATTAAACACATTTGAAGATAAGAAATAATTAAAATGAAACTGATGAGTAATATTGTAGCATAATTTTGATTAATTAAGTAATCAAGAGGTTGTGGCTGCTGAAAATAAATAAATATCATTTAATAGAATTTCTCTGGTTTATGATTCGAATATAAAAACATTCGTGTCTCGTACACATATTTTACTTACCATTTTACTAAAATATTTTATTTTTATTTTTTCCTCTAGAAAAATAACAAATGAATATTATGAAGTTTTGAAATTTAAAATGATTACCATTTTTTTCATAAGAATGCACGATATTCGGTGTAGCTAATTGCAGCGCATCAGAGTAATCGGACATGACTTCTGATGATAAAAAATAATCTAAAACAACTAAAAATTATAAATGGACACACAAAATAATTAAAGATCCTTCTTTTGATATACTAAACTTTTTTCATTTCGTTTTTTTAACATCCTTTATTTATATAAAATAATAAATGTAGATCATTGACTCTTTGCTTAGTTTCTGGAAACTAAGGTGATTTTTTCAGAGAATATCAAACTCTTTACTTTTAGTTATTTTTCGTGAATCGCTTCACCTACTGATCAGTAAGAGGATACATTTTCATTTTCTGGAAGATCAATATTAGTACTATTATAAAAGTGTCTTGGTCATGTTTAACAAATGAATCTGTTTCAAATCATAAAGGGAAGAAAATTTTGTCACAAGATAGCGTAAAAAGGAAATTCAGTGTGTACACTATAGACACTCGTTTTCTTCATCAGCATGTAAAACAGTGTAAATTAAACTTCAATAGGGTACCGTGCATTTTGTCTTGCTTGGTACACTCATTCATTAAAACATTGATGAGGTCAATCTATGAGCAAAAATTATTTAACTGACTTGTGCAGGCGTTAAATCTTACGAAAAAAGGATTCCCTCGACGAGATTAATCCGAATTCGTTAACAAAATGAGAAAATTGAAGTGGAAGATTTTATCTGCACTCTATTGATCACTGGTGTACTTTGTCTTCACTCAACTCAACCGAATTGAATCATGTTATGTCCAAGATCAATCGACAATCAGGATTTTAATAAGAGATGTCGCTGCAATTCTTAGTGAACAACGCATTTCTTTGTCGAGAAAGCTTAGTATGCGTATATAATATTGATGTTAAAAATTTCAGTGCTAAACGTCAAAGTTTCTCTAGTGTGATTAACCATGCAAATCTACTATGGTACATGAAAGAGTGCATCACTTCATTAACAGGAATGGTTCTATTTCTTTTGTTCACAACAATGAAGCGGAAGAAGAAATGTAATCGCCGTTGTCATTTTATCTAGATCAACATTCTTTCTTCATAATATTTTCATACCAATTGTATTTTAGATATATAATACAGAGCAGTCAAGTCCGTGCAATATATCGAAAAAGCAATTTAATTGAAGCTTCTGGTGGTGAAACAGCAATTTCAAACAACGAAGAATTGACCTATATTAAAAATGTAAGTGTTTTTGTGAAATTTGTTTGCAAAAGAATCAAGAATAATGTTTGAAGGATATTTACCGAAAGGGAACATGAATTGGGGAAGCTCCTTCGTTCATAATTATCTGTTTTTTAGGTACTGTTACATCTGTAATATATTAAATTAATTCATTCTTTTTAGATTTCGGCTGCTTCTTATTTAAAAACAGTTCAAAGTCCTCGTGTTTTATCTTACATGCAAATAGCTTTAATATCGATTTACCTAGTTGAATATGCTGTTGTACTAGTCAAAGCATATCCATACATTGAAGGTTCATTCAATGGAATATTCTACCATGAAGAAACAGAAAAAAATCTTAAAAAATTTCTATTACACATTAATGAAGAACAGAATTATTGTTATTATTGTGTCAGTAATTATACTACTTTTGCAAAATTACGAGAACTAGTTGATAGGCAAGATAGGAACATTCTTTATTTGGAACGATTAAGAATAGTTCGAATTTGTTTCAATGTGGTGAATGTAACAAATTTAGTTATAGTATACATGATGTTTGGTGGACCAAAAACAATTGCTATAGCCACAATGTTAAGCGCTGTACTCACATTTGCCACGCTGTATGTTGAACATAAACGGAACCAAATTATCTGTGATTCATTTATAGTGATAATATTTTCCATTATTATTGGGAAGTGTATATACACATTGAACTGTATCAGGGATAAACTAATCATGGCATCATCAACAAGAGAACAATAATTTTTTTCTAGATATTTCAGAATAGATGTTAATTTTTCTTTTCATTCTATCAAGCCAAATAAATATTTTTAGTATATCTGCATTTCAACAGAGTCACTGATCGTAAACATGATGAAACAGGATCTCATGGAATTAGCTACTCTTAACAAATATACCAAAATTTTAATGTCTATCACACTGAGAATAAACTAGAGAAATTTCTTTTTAGCTGCATCATTAAGACGCTATTTTTCGAAATTATCTGTTTTTTTCTAGTTTGAATTTTACAAGCGTTAGTCACTACACCGAACGAAAGCGATAGCCACATACGCTCATTAATACTTTTAAAGGTTACCAGTTTTGAAATTGTTTGTACATAAAAAATGGTACCAAATTTTTAATGTTCGAAACGAGTTAACAGTGTTCATCATTAATCAACAGGCCTGTTCTCAGTAGTTATAACAAGGTAACGCGACGTTAGCGTCGCCAACCCTCTACTGAAAGAATTTAGTCGCATAGAACGTAGCTATCCTAAACTATCTAGCTGAGAGACTTCACATCTTAGAGCTTCGAAATGATTTGCATGGAAAACACGATTTATAACCGAGCATAAATAGAAAACATGCTTGGAAGTATCACCAAGAAAACCGCATTTAAGTAGTACTCACTAATACTATATGGCAATAGTAAAGTTAAGTGCATCCGATCTGGTACAGCTCAAGCTACGCCCCCAAAAACTTTCGATCAACTTAATAACGGAGTGAAGAAAAAGACCCATTCATGAGAGCTATGATCGAAATACTCCATTTTAGTAAACCCAGGTTGATCAAAANATCGATTTCATTGGTTGTAACGAATGCTCCAATCAGACAACAACATCCGGTAATAATGTGATTCAGTGTTTCCAATGGCAAGTGTACACAGCAGAAGCAAAATGTACAGAACATCTGCTAGTTTTGATTTACACTCTGCTATACGCTTGCCCAGAAAAACAAAGTGTACCACTTTGCTAAAATAGTTTACACTCTGATTTCTTTGATCTCTGAACCTTAAAAGTCGCATATAGTTTTCAATTAATTAAGTATGATAGTTTCCTTCGCTAGTGATCAAAATGTTTGTTTCATGAGATAAAAAATAGCGAAAATTATATTTTGTTTTAGATTTCCATTGGAAACACTGATGTGATTTATCAAAAAAAAATACCAATGAATCAATTCAATTCGGTTGAGTGAAGACAAAGCACGCCAGTGATCAATAGAGTGCAGATAAAATCTTCTGTCTCGATTTTCTCATTTTGTTAACGAATTCAGATCAATCTCGTCGAGGGAATCCTTTTCTCGTAAGATTTAACGCCTGCACGAGTCAGTTAAATAATTTGCACTGTTTTACATGCTGATGAAGAAAACTAGTGTCTATAGTGTACACACTGAATTTCCTTTTTACGCTATCTTGTGACAAAATTTTCTTCCCTTTATGATTTGAAACAGATTCATTTGTTGAACATGATCAAGACACTTTTATAATAGTACTAATATTGATATTCCTCCTTGCATGAATTTCGCTGTCATATTTTCTCGTCTAACTATTTAAACGTCTATCAATGTGGATAAATAGTATCATTTCATATAGACTGTTTATTTTTAATATGAAAATTCTATTTCCTATAAGTTTAGAATTCTTTTGTTGTGTTACTGTACGCTTTGATCTGTAAAGCAAAATGCACGTATGCATGCTGTTTCTAAAAACGTAGTTTATTCATAAATTCTGTTTCAGATTCTCATTAAAAACGTAGTAGCCTATGCTTAAAAAAGACGTTTTTGCTTCTTGAAATATACTTGTTACAGAAAATATGACTCGATTTTGTTGTCTTAAACAGAGTTCTTAAATCCTTTTGTTGTGAATTTTATGACGTATAAAACTTAGCTTGAAGTTTTTCCAGTGATCATCTTTACTGGATTAACAGTAAATTTTATGTTTTAAAATTTTTGTTTTTAAGTCTCTGTTTTGTTTCTAAACAATATATATGTCGTATCGAAGTTACACCGGTCGACGAAGTTATAACTTCGACAGAGAAATTTGTCGAAGTTATTTTTCATTCACTTATCAATAAATAATTTACCAAAATGAATATTCTGATGCTGAATGTATGTTAAAGAATTAAGTTTTTTCTAACAAATACTCATTTATTTAACGATATCGTTAAATAAATGAGTATTTGTTAGAAAAAACTTAATTCTTTATCATACATTCAGCATCAGAATATTCATTTTGGTAAATTATTTATTGATAAGTGAATGAAAAATAACTTCGACAAATTTCTCTGTCGAAGTTATAACTTCGTCGACCGGTGTAACTTCGATACGACATATATATTGTTTAGAAACAAAACAGAGACTTAAAAACAAAAATTTTAAAACATAAAATTTACTGTTAATCCAGTAAAGATGATCACTGGAAAAACTTCAAGCTAAGTTTTATACGTCATAAAATTCACAACAAAAGGATTTAAGAACTCTGTTTAAGACAACAAAATCGAGTCATATTTTCTGTAACAAGTATATTTCAAGAAGCAAAAACGTCTTTTTTAAGCATAGGCTACTACGTTTTTAATGAGAATCTGAAACAGAATTTATGAATAAACTACGTTTTTAGAAACAGCATGCATACGTGCATTTTGCTTTACAGATCAAAGCGTACAGTAACACAACAAAAGAATTCTAAACTTATAGGAAATAGAATTTTCATATTAAAAATAAACAGTCTATATGAAATGATACTATTTATCCACATTGATAGACGTTTAAATAGTTAGACGAGAAAATATGACAGCGAAATTCATGCAAGGAGGAATATCAATATTAGTACTATTATAAAAGTGTCTTGATCATGTTCAACAAATGAATCTGTTTCAAATCATAAAGGGAAGAAAATTTTGTCACAAGATAGCGTAAAAAGGAAATTCAGTGTGTACACTATAGACACTAGTTTTCTTCATCAGCATGTAAAACAGTGTAAATTATTTAACTGACTCGTGCAGGCGTTAAATCTTACGAGAAAAGGATTCCCTCGACGAGATTGATCTGAATTCGTTAACAAAATGAGAAAATCGAGACAGAAGATTTTATCTGCACTCTATTGATCACTGGCGTGCTTTGTCTTCACTCAACCGAATTGAATTGATTCATTGGTATTTTTTTTTGATAAATCACATCAGTGTTTCCAATGGAAATCTAAAACAAAATATAATTTTCGCTATTTTTTATCTCATGAAACAAACATTTTGATCACTAGCGAAGGAAACTATCATACTTAATTAATTGAAAACTATATGCGACTTTTAAGGTTCAGAGATCAAAGAAATCAGAGTGTAAACTATTTTAGCAAAGTGGTACACTTTGTTTTTCTGGGCAAGCGTATAGCAGAGTGTAAATCAAAACTAGCAGATGTTCTGTACATTTTGCTTCTGCTGTGTACACTTGCCATTGGAAACACTGAATCACATTATTACCGGATGTTGTTGTCTGATTGGAGCATTCGTTACAACCAATGAAATCGATACAAATACTTATTGCATGAGAAATCCGATTGTTTTTACCAGTTGAAAAATAATTATGAATTTCTTTTCGAATTTTATATAAAATGTTAAAACAATTCTTGTATTCATTACAATCGTTGTTCAATACAACAAACAATTTCAATTGATCAGGTTTTATAATTACATGTCTAGAGCATTTTCATCTTTTTAGTGCGTTTATATTTTAAATTAGAAAAACCGGAAGTATTAAAAGGCCCTTCTTATTCTAATTTATAGAAATCATAATTAAAAATGCCCGAACCATCGTCCTTGGAGCACGTCTATGGTTTAAATAAATGGTCTGATGCTGGTTATTCAACAATTGACACGCTCTATCTACGACCAGTTCGATGGTTTCATCGAAATATTGTCGAACGATTACGTGGTTCATCATATCCATATTATCATCGTAAATTTGGTCCTGTAAAAACAATAGATCAATGTGAAGTTCAAGATCAGACATGTTTTTATGAATCTGAAATGACTTATTTACGTGAAAAAAGGATTGATACAATGGTCGTAGAAATACTTCATGACCGTTTGACACGTTGTATTGCTTATGAAGGTCGCATTGATGCATTAGATAAATGTGCCAAAGAGAAAGATGCTCTATTTGAGTCACATGCCAATTGGTATCAAAAATATGGTGAAATGGGTGTACCACATAGTTGTGTTGATGCTTATATGAAACAAAAACATCTCATGATATGGATGCGCCGACATCCTGAGGTTGATCTTAAAGGCTGGGCAATTGAACGTGACTATGAACAGAAAACAAAAGATTACATCAAGAGTATTCCTATGCCTATGGAAATTCGATAAAAAATAATGTTTTTTCTTTTATTTGTTCGAATATGTATAATGAGTTAGATTTGTATTAAAAACTTTACTATTCTTGTTATATAAAAGCACTTCATTTGTGCATATGTTGGAAAATAATCAATCTGTTGTTTTCTCTCTTCTGATTTTTAGTACGAAACAAACACAGATGACAACATCAGCAATAGATCGTTTCGATTTCTTTACTATTGCCTTCGATATTTTAATATCAATAGTTGGCAGTATTATTGTTAATCGGCTTATACCAATTTTGAAAGAAAAATTTATTAAAGCACAATTGTGGGGAAATGATTTAAATAAACGAAATTCAAAAGAAGTCAAAATGTAAGATAATCTTTACTATCCGTTGTAGTTTTCGTGATGATTCTAAATGTACCGGCGATTTCAATTCTCATGATTACTTCTATTTTTGAGTCTTTTGAACTTGATTTTCAAAAAACAAATCTTCTCATTGTAACGCTGAGTTCTGTTGCAGGAAGATGTTCACAAGTTTTTAATTTACATCCTATAGATGACAGATAATGGACGGTCCTTTTTTTTTCATTTTAGTGCAGAATCCCAAGGTGTTCTAGCGGCAGGCATCTTTCTTGTACTTATGTTCATTATGATTGCTGTAGTCTTTTCTGAACATTTACATCCTGCAAGTGTCTTTCCACATAAGAAAGTAAGAACTTGTTTTTCTGATTAGAATTTCTCAATTATTGTTTTCTTGTTATAGTTTGTCGAGTATTTAGCTGCTTTACTCTCAATCTGTTGTATGGTTCTACTTGGTTTTGCCGATGATGTACTCGATCTACGTTGGAGTGTCAAATTATTACTCCCATTGATTGCATCACTACCACTTTTACTTGTTTATTTTGCTAATTACCATTCGACAACTATTATTTTACCTAAACCTGTGAGGCCCTACCTAGGCCAACAATGGAATCTCGGTACCAATGAATAATCTCTCTAGTGAAATCGATATAAATTTAATTCTATTTCGATATAGGCATTCTCTATTATGTTTATATGAGTATGGTCGCTGTATTTTGTACAAATGCAATTAATATTTTAGCTGGTGTAAATGGACTTGAAGTGGGTCAATCTATTATTATTGCAATATCTATACTTATTTTCAATCTAATCGAATTACAAGGTTTATTTATTTTTTCTCTTTACAACTAAGATTGCAATTATGAATTCTTCTTTTTTCAGGTGTCTGTTGGGAAGAACATCTTTTTTCGCTTTATTTTATGATTCCATTTGTTGCTTGCACATTTCCAATTTTGATCAAAAATTGGTTCGTTTATTTTTCGTTACTTTAATCCGTAACGATAGATTGAAAATAAAAAATTTATAAATTCTACATTTATTAACATAGGTATCCAGCGGAAATATTTGTTGGTGATACACTCTGTTATTTTGCCGGAATGACATTTGCCGTGGTGGGCATCATCGGTCATTTCAGCAAAACTATGCTTCTATTTTTTATACCTCAAATTATTAATTTTCTTCTTTCGGTGCCACAATTATTTCATTTTATACCTTGCCCACGACATCGTTTACCCAGGTAGATTAAATAATCAATCAAAATTTTGATTTAATTTAGTTTTTTACATCTTTTTTTTTAGGTTAGATCCCGAATTGAATAAACTTAACCCATCAGAAGTTGAATTTAAAAAAAGCGATTTAAAACTACTTGGCTGGTTGATGTTACGCTTTTTTTCTATGACGAAATTTATTCGATATCGAGAATATACCAATAATGATGGTGAACGTCTTATATCAACAACTAATTTTACGATTATCAATACAGTTCTGTGTTGGTTTGGTCCATTACATGAAGAAACACTCAGTCGAATACTTATGCTTATACAAGTCAGTATCATTTTTTGATGATTGAGTAAAATAATATTTCTAATAAAATATCTATAATTTAGATTGTATTTGGCAGTTTATTAACATTCTTTATTCGTTATTATTTGGTGAAATTTTTTTATGATTCATAATTATTGCTTATGATTAACTTATATTTCTTGAACGATTGACAAATTCTTTCGTTTTATTAAAGATTAATTTTAGAATTATTAATTTTTTTTTTGATCGCTGACAATCAAGAAATGGAATTTTTTTTGCTTAGTGATAGTAAAGAAAATGATGAGTTATTCCTTATGGATTGTTTGCTGCCTGTAGATGTTGAAAGAGGCTTTTCAATGGCTGGAGAAGATGTTGAAGAAACTCGATTTGAACCAAATCTAATTCGTCGGCCGAGTCGCAGTCGAGCAAGAAGTACATCTTCGGTTGGCGATTGCTGAATTTGCTTTGTTTTACTGGCACAGAATGCTGCATGACGATCATAAGCTTTTTCACAAAATTTACGTTTACATATTGGACAGCCTGTATTCATTGAAAGAAAAAAATTAACAAAAGTTTTATGAGTGAAATAACATCAGGATTTTTTTATGCGAGCACATTTATCGAAATGATCAAATCTGAATCTTATTTTTGATAGGAAAGTCTTCCTACTGATGCATCGAAGTTATGAATTCATAACAAAACCCAACGAGCTATGATGAATAGTGATGTTTAGTTTATCTCTACGAAGCTACTTCCATAATATCCTTGATAAACATCAGAAAAAAAAACTTCAATTCTGCAATAAAGATGCGCGGGCGATAGAACAGGCACACTATTGTGATAATAATAACGATATGGTCTGAAATATTCACAGTCAACTACGCTCATTAAAGCCGATATCTGGGGACAACGTTGGTTCCTGACATGTAGATGTTCTTGACTAAGCAGCGGTTTATCTCCGGAGAAAATTTCTCTTATTAAATATAAATATTTATACATACAGAAATTATCGATAATAGGTGGTACAAGAGTATCTGCATGACGATCACGTTTTACACTACGTGTTTGAGACGATCGTGCGTTGATATTTTCAGGTTTATCGACAAAAATTGTTGACATCTTTTGTACTGGTATAATTTGGTCGCCCGTTTTTACCGACCGATAGTTTGTCATATCAAATACATTTCGTTTATTTGAAGGATTTTTACGACAAACATTTGGATGTTTAAGAAACACTTCTTGACGCATTCGTCTTTGACATATGGGGCATCGAACTAATTCGTTTAGTATTTTTTCAGTATTGTTCATATCGTTGGTTTTGTTACGAATTCTATTAACGATGTTTTATACTGTGTTGTATTGCTCAATACGTGTGCACGTTGTCCGTTAGCATGGTGATATTATCGATACAACTCGATAAATGCAGATAACTGTTGTGTACCTTTCTGCGTCTTCTGTAGTTGTTCTTTCTTTTTCTTCATCCTGTCTACATAATTTACCTTCTTCTCTCTGATAGACATTCAAGTGAATATAAAGTGCGATAATATATACCACTTATTATATTCCTACTCGTTGTCAAATTTATAATATCTTGAAAGAATAAGATGCCTAGTACCATTCGTAACAGAATAGGTACGAATTGGCATTAACTAAAAGAAATACCGGATCGCATAAAAATCAGATCGGTGATATAGTTAATTACAATGAAAATCAACAGAAGAAATAAATAAACATGTTTTCTGTGGTGATAATGCACTTGTCAAGTCATACTAAATGTGACCTTTTCGGTCAATCCTATTCGTTCATTTTTATGTACTGGTATATAAATTTACATATATATATCTCTGTTTTCCTTTTCGTTTCTTTAACACACCCATTCATCTATAAATGCCTGTCAAAAACAAAGATATACATATATACGATTCTTTTCCACGTGCTATCTATCTATTTTTTGATTCAGATCGGCTTCGATAGTTGATCTATCGGTTAGAAATTTGATCGCATGAAGAAGTTCTTGTATATATTTGTAGATTCAGATTCGTTTAAATTTATAATAAGCATTTCGAACAAAAAATGGATGAAAAATTAACAATGAAATCCACGTCTCCTGATTCAAGTATAATTTCTTTTGAATAGTTCAATCTATTTTAAATATTCGTTTTTCTCCTCTCGCTCTCATTCAGTATTATCAGAATTCCTGTCGTATGATTCCACTACTAATACTCATAGTACTATTCCTGTTTCATCTATTACATCAATACTTCCTCCACTTCGTTCATCATTCACCATGGCTAATATTAGCAGTATTGCAAATGTAAATGAAGAACAGAAATTTTTTCTCGATGATTTCAATTTAGAACGATTGCCTTCAATATCTCGATGGTAAGTCAAATAATTACGCTTTTTTCGAATATATTTCTATTTGTTTCGGTGACTGTTGTAGGCAATCGGATGCCGAAAATCTAAATCGCAATTCTATTCAACCGTCATCTTCAAGATCGACCTATCTTATCAATGATTTTTTGTAAATGATTTAATTCAAAATATTCAACATCAATCAGCACATCATTTGTTTTTGCTTTAGAACCAACAGAAATATAGCTTCATCATCAATAACCGATGTGCTCATCTCACCGTTATCTCGTTTATCGACATCATCATCGATTATGTCTCTTAGTAGTATTGGTAATCAAAAAACGACTAGTCAACAATTGGTAAGTTAGAATAAAAACGAAATTTGCTCAAGTTTTCTATTCTCCTTCATATTAATTTTCAAATCTAGTCTCGATCAGGATTCAAAAATTCAACAGAACAATTAACAACGTCAAATGGAAATATGTTTCCTTCGGCATCCTTATTCGTGCCATTACCAACGCCATCACCAAATCGTCAAATACTTTCTTCGATGGAAAATATTCCATCAGCAATGGCTGACAATGATCTTCAACGAGTACCACATTCATGGATGTTAATGTCATCCACGCCGCCTAATTATGGTATTTTTCAGTTTATTTATTTGAAACAATGGCACGTACTTTTAATTGTTTAAAGAAACAGGTCCCATTGTTCAACAATCGCCAGCACCACAACTCGTTCACAGTGCTAATCGAACAAATTCAATGCCATCTTGGCGTGGTAATTTGCCTATGAAATTCGAACCAATGATGATGGATCAATATCAAATGACAGGTCATTACTCGCAAAAAGTTTTCCTCGGTGGTATTCCTGCTGAACTTAATGAAGGTCAGCCACAAAAAAAGCAATGTTTTCTTTTTTAATCTCTCCTATTTTTCTAGCTGAACTTTTACTGATTTTACGGAAATTTGGCAAATGTAATATTAAATGGCCAAAAAATGATGGAGCTAATCATAATATGCCAGGTGACACTTTCGTTTTTTCTTATTTTGAGAGCAATTTCGATGATGGATCCGTACTATTTGAAATTATCTCTATTTAATTAATTTCGTTTATTTATCATCTAGGTTTTTGTCATGTGATATTTCGAGAATCACGTTCTGTGTGTGAACTGCTAAAAAATTGTACTCGTCAACAACGTTCAACAATTGATTATTTTCTTCATATTCATATGGCAGCATCATCAGCAATGGATTTATCTATGCGTACAAATCGACTTAAGCCAGTAATGAAATCTTTTCTGTTTTGTAACTTTTGTTTTAAAATTTTTTTTTTATCTGAATAGATTCAAGTAGTACCATGGAATGTAAAAGATAATGTCTATGTCATGCAACAAGGCGATACATCGAATGGCGATGCAACATTTAAAGATTGGTCCCGTACAATATTTGTATCTCCATTACATGGCAAAATGACAGCATTTAGTTTAGCTACGATTATGTCAAATGTTTTCGGAACTGTATCAATGGCACAAATTAATACCGATAAATATGGATATCCAACAGGTAATCTTGTTTTTTGTCTTTGCCTTTGAAATCATGCATAGTCAATCCATCGGAATCATTTAGGTACTGGTACGGTATTATTTACTGATTCTCATAGTTATATGCGTGCCGTTGCTGCTGGTGCTATCGATATTAAATGTGATTGTTTTCATAAATTGGTAAGTTCGATCTTTCGTATGTATATTTTTTTAATAATGAATTTATTTCTAGCTTGATATTGACCCATTTCTACGTGAAAATGAACCTTGTGCATTTTGTCCAGCAGTTGCCGATTTATTTTGCCGAAATTTTCATTGTTTAAGATCATATTGTAAACAATGTTGGGTGAATAAACACGGACCAAAACCACTTGCTGACCATCAACCAGCAACGCGACGACAACAACCGTTACCTCATATATAAATTCTTAACCGTATTAAAAACAAACCTATAGTCTTTAGGCTTTATCTATGCCATGTGTGTGTGTGTGTTTTCTTTTTTGTTGTTTATTCTTGAAAAGATTTTTTTTTGCTTTTTTTCATATGTTTGAAACTAATTGTGAAAAGTAGATATTGCGCTTTTCCTGTATGTGTTTATATGAACTGTTCTATGATCGTCAGAAAATATCTTGTCGATCAGTCCTGTTTTATTTGAACTAATAATAATGAAGTGTTTTTTTTTATTCAGATTGTATATTGTTTTGTGTGCGACCTGTTGTTGTTTTTGTTGTTGTTGTTGTTGTTGTGAAGGAAGGGGATTTTTCTTTGAGAACAAAGCATTGGGTTTGCTAGAATAAACACATGGATGTTACAAGATGCTTGTCATATATTTTCCTCTATTTTTTGATCTATGATATGGCCTATTGAGAAGCTAATTTTAGACTAGTTGCATAAAATATTCAACAAACAAGACTAAAAATAGCTCTGCTGAAAGACCAAAATCCTCTGTAATGGAGCTTTTATGAACTCACAGGAAGAAATCAGTTGTCAATATTTTCTTTGTATGAAATCATGGACGCATACCTTATATAGTATCGGGATGATTCACATATTTTCTTGTGTAATGACATGACTCATCAACAAGATACTGCACAAAACTGTTAGAGTATAAAATATCCATCTTTTTCTTATATACACATAAGTTATTTATTATTCGACTACTGTCACAACAATCCACGATTCAGTCAAATCTCGAACTTTTTATTTATCTCTAAAATAAGTTTGATTCAAGCATATCAAATCTGCATGACTACTGATAATTTATTTGCTACTGTCGAAGTTCGATGTTTTGTGGACAATCCCAATGTCATTTCTGGTGTTTTAAATACGAAAAAAGCTCGTTTTGATATTGAAACAAAAAGTAATGGGAAAACAATCAAACGAACGCCATTGAATTTAGTACTTATTCTTGATTGTAGTGGATCGATGGAAGCTGACAACAAATTAATATTTGCAAAACAAGCTGTCATTTCCGTTCTTAAGCTTCTTCACGATGATGATATCGTTCATCTTGTTGCATATGAATCGGATGCATCTATCATTTTTGAAAACGCACGAGCATCTACTCGACAACACCTTTACCATCTCATAGAAAAAATTGATACGGCTGGTTCGACGAATATGTCCGGTGCTATTGAAGTTGCCGCTAATCTTCTGAATAGATATGTATATGATGGATATTCACGTCGTATGTTTCTTTTTTCTGATGGGCAAGCTAATGTTGGAATGAAAACTAGAGCTGAATTAACAAAACTTGTTGCTGAATACAATAATAAAGGTATTATAACTGATTCATTTGGTATTGGTGCTGATTTCGATAGTGAAATTATGAAAGGTATTGCTGATGCTGGTGGATCGAGATTTTACTTTCTTGAATCAGCTCAAGTCATTGAATCATTAGTTACGAAAGCTCTTGTATGTGTATTTGGTGTATGTGGATCGCAAGCTCGTCTTATTTTACGTGGTAAAAATGGAGCAACGTTGACGAAAATATGGGGCCATGAAAATCTTGTTGCTGGTGCAAGTCTTGGTGATCTACATTCAGACAATCTACGATCGATTCTTTGCGAATTTACAACTTCTGGTACTGCAACGAGTGCTGACGGAAGCGAGATTGAAATGCTTACATATGAATTACGATATAATCAGCCCAATGATCTCAATGGAGAACCTACCGTGATCAAAAATACTTTATCATTGAAATTTGTAGAAGATGAATCACTCGTTACAGAGATTGATCCACGAGTCAAAACGATGTTTGCTACGCAAACAGCTGCTGAAATGGATAAAAAGATTGCACAATTAGTGAAAAATCATCAGCGCACAGAAGCAATGGATCTTGTCGCTGAACAAATTGCATTACTTAAAGATGTTGAACAATTCGATGATGAACGAGGAACTATTTCATTGTTACTTCGGCTGGCTGAAAATATGCAAAATAAACTAAAAGATGAAACTATCGATAGAAATCTTGTTTGCCGTGGATACGAACATAAAGCTTATTTGATGGCAGAGTATGATTGTGACGATATGGCTCTATATTGAGTAACTTAAAAGGAAGAACTTGATGTGTACGATGTATTCTATTGTTGTTCTTTTGGAAATAAAAAGTATTGATAAATAAAATTGTCGTCAAGAATTACTGGTTGTAGCGGGAACGATCCAGCTAGAATCAATATGTAATGGTAACCTGGGAGAGATGTATTAGAACAATGAAAAGAGAATAGATAGAGAAAGAAGGAAAATCATTTAAAATGGTAAATTGACTTTTTCAAACTTATGCATTTTATTAAGAATATGTACTGTTTATACAAAGACTTCGAAATTTTACATTTACAAGAAAATGGTTTCTTTGCTGCCACTGTTTATTACACGTACTACTGAATTGCTGTTACATCTGTCCGAAATATCTTCTGTTTTACTTTCAGGATCATATTCTTCACGTAAACGCCAAAGTGCATCAACAAAAGTAATGTAGTCCAGTGTTTGCAGTCGTTTACCATTGAATTTGTTATAATAATTTGTTGATACTTGTGCATACTCTCGATGATAAAATTGTTTCAAATGGCGAGCATAGATAATCAAAGCTGTTCCCGTATGAAACTGATCGGACAACAGTGTTGTTAAATCATTCTGAATATGATTATCCAGAAACCATTGTCGAATATCTTTTGTTGTCCAAGGTTTTAATCGCTTCTCGTCTACTTTCGTTTCTGTGGGTAGCACCGTGTCGGATGATTTTTCTGCGGCAATGAAATTTTGCTCAAGAGTCAAAATCGACATAAGTTCATTGAGAGCATCGGTAAAAGCATTTCGTCCAAAATGAACATATTTTTGTCCAGCTATGCGAATTCCAAGCCAACCACTTGCTTTATACTTTTGATTTGGAGCATATATTGGCACAATACGCTTTTTCAGTGTATCACAAGCATATGAAAGTTCTTGCCTACACGATTTAGAATCATAATAATCTTTTGATACAATCACAACAATAGTTGTGGCCATTTCCATTGCACCAGCAATTTCTTCCCATAGATCATCTGAATGAACGGTACCAAGATGTTTTTGTTTGTAATCTACCCAAACAGGAATACGATGAGATAAATTATCAACAAGTTCACGACAGAATGCTGAATCACAATGTGAATAACTAATCATAATATGTGATTTTTCTTCTAATTTCTCTTTCGGTACAGTTAAATGTGAACGTCTCAAATTCCATAAGATTCCTTCAGCTGCTTGTTTTAAACTACTAACATCACGTGGAATCGCTCTAAAATGTCTACTTGTATATAATGAAGATGATGTAGCTATATTTGATAGTGTTTGCATAAGGTTTACATTTGATTTGAGATTTTCATGATAGGATTCATGAAACGATATACTCCATAAGAGATTAACTAGCCCAAGCAATGTTTCATCAGTAAGCATTTGGTAGATTCGTGTCGAGTCACTCGACATGACTGCATATTGAATCAGTAATTGAGATAAACAATCTAACAGTCCATGATTGTCATTTAAACATTTTTTTAGTATATCATCATTGATGAATAGTTTACATAAAACGCATAAAATTTCAGATATATGACAACCTTTGTAGAAAATTGAATCATTCTGTGCAGTAGAAATGAGAAATGAAATCATTTGTTCAAGTACATGACACATTCTTTCATCGGATATAATCGATTTTTGTTTGATTTCTTTTGCTTCAATTAATAGAGCATGAATAATGCATTGAACAAAATAAATCGATGAGTATTCTTCTTCATTATGATCTTTTTTCATTTGTTCATTGCTTTCAGTAAGGGCTTTGTCACAATTCAATTGATTTAAAACGTCAACAGCAGCTGCATTTCGAGCAAGTTTTTGTAGAATAAGATTTATTAAGAAATCAGTCGTATATAGTGGTCGTCGTCCAATTCTTTTCATCCATTGAATACATGCATTAGGCCAGTCAGAATTGATTACCATCGGTGTTAATTTGGGTAGTATACTAGATACTTTAACTAAATGAAGAATATTATTAATAAGTTTGGCTCTTTCTTCATATTTCAAATTAATTTTGACAAAGTCAAGTAAATAGGAAAACATATTTGGTGCTAGATCATTTTCAGTAATTGCGACCAATGGACTTGAACTGGTAATAATAGGTAATAAACAATTAAGAAGATGATCATATTTACTATCGTGTGTAAAATAACTTTGTTTAAGCAAAGGAATATAATTATGAAAAATAATATCAAGACGATATGAATCTTTGATGGCAAAAAATAAATTAAATAAACATAAACCTTGACATGCGTTTGCTAGAGTTTCTAAAAATAGATTTGTTTGACGTGAACTATCATTGACATCTGATAGTTTCTTATCGAAGATTGGAATTATTCGATACAAGTTGTCAACAATAGCAAGTAAAAATGGTTTATTTTCTAGAAGAAGTCCATTGGGTGTAGCCTGTTTTAGTTGAATAGTCAAACGTTCAATTATTGCAGCATATCGATCTGATGTAGAACAGAAAGGTAGACTTTTTAAAGCAGTAGCAAAATCATTTGTAACCATTTGATAGCTCACAGTATTTATGTCTCCACTCATTTGTGTTGCTGTTTTGAAAATATCAGCAATCATGCGACTATCGGCATATATACCTTGCTATCGAAAATTTGAATATGCTTGAATCAAATAGTGTCATAGAGCAAAGAAATCGTGCAAAATTTGTATTGACAGGCATACTGTGTCATGCTGACGATTGCAAAAAAAGAACAAAATACATAAAGTGCATACACAGTTTTCATTGCTGCCAAGTTAATTTCTTTCCTTCAGCGTATAAAATACATCAAGTGCACGAGAATACGAAAAGTTCTGTTGACTAAATGAAGTATGGGTTTCCTTTTTGCAGGTATCAAACAACACATCTATATCCGATTTCAATTTAATACGTAATAGATCGTCATCAACAAATAGAATTCTCTAGGTTTTTATTGGCTTTAGATTGATTTTCACCGTATTTCGATATTTTATGTCGTTCTCAGTGCCTATTATTGCACCTTATTTAGACTTAGTTGTTGTCATCACTACAGCTGATGATGATTTGTAACAATTGGTTTGTATAGCTATTTATAAAGAGATAACAATCTATCATAGCATCGAAAATACGAAGAAAAACGAATAATCAAAACGTAAGTTCATTAGAAAATTTTCGCTTAAATAACATTTTGTAAATGACTGTTCAGTTCCAATCAAAATATTAAGTTGAGAATAACGACACAGATCGATTTTCGATAATAAATCTATAATGATATTTTGGTGAACCCGACAAAGCTTTTACCGTAAAGAGCCAAGAGGAACTTGCGTATGTTAGGGACAATTGCAAGTGTTTTTTAAGGTTATTTAAATTGGTCGTTTGTATTTTGTTCTATTGGATTCGTTTATGTAAGACTTTATAAGTGAAAATAGCAAGAGGGAAAGAACTCATTTGGGCATTACCTGATACTCCTAGCTATTATGGAGTATTTTAATTTAATGGGACTTAATTAATACCGTTAAATAAGTGGTTTCACTTCGCATAAAACTGTAAACGTTTCGGTTTCTTCTAAATGACTGTGTCTATCTTTAGAAGCTTGCTTTTTTTTCAAAGTTTACAGTTCTTTCATTGAAGTCGATTTCCACAATGTTGAACTGACGCCAATTACTGCACACTCACTGGTAACTATGTAATCCCAGAATTTCGCACATAGAGTACTTGTATTCTGAACGAATAGCTAGGGTTTGATTCCCAGATCTCGCGAAAGATATTTTGTTTTTCTTGCGCAAAGTGATCGTATCTTTTTGTTGATCAATTTCGAAAAACCTATCAAATTCTTCGTAAATCTAACTAATTTGTGTAAGAATTCTCTGATCATATTCATTGATTCGCACTTACTGACTGCTTTTCTATAATATTTAACTAACCTTTAGGGACAAGAAAAAGCATATGTTTTAGATTTATTTGATTTCAATAGTATACAGTTATTTCGAAAATAAAAAACACACTTAAACTATATTATTTATATACGCAACTAGCTGAGAAAAACAAGATCCTTACATCGAAGAGGTTATTCATTACAACCGTCAATCTCTTCTCGTGCATGTGACCAGCCGGATTCTTTACTTCTCTATTTCATGTTTTTAAATTTTACTCCTTACAATAATCGATATATCAATGCACTTCAAATTGATAAAGTGCATTTTTGTGATAAAATTGCATTTGCATAGTTAAATATTTATCTATCTCAAGAACAAGAGACTGATAACACTAAAATAGTCTAATGTATATTGGAAGATTATAACTATTTTCAACAGAATATGTTTAGCCAGTAAATTTCGACAATAGTGATAATCATCCTTTTAATGAATTCAAATATTCTTGCATCGTTTGATCTATTTCAAGACACTCCTTCATATCGAGTAATTGCTATCCATTTCTTCGAATGGTTCGTCATGAGATTTCCCCTCCATCGACCTCAATACATTGCTGATATGTTACGAAACAAAATGGTAATTTCATAATTTTACTTTGATTCATCTCAATAGAAATAGTAGCGTAGAATCATTATGACACTAATCTGAAGGATGAATTTTTCTTGCTTAAAAGATAAATGAATGCTCTATGATCAATAACGTTACTGATTTCATTTGCATAGCAATGCATATCCTTATTCACATTTTGTAGTATTCGAATTTCGAATTAGATGTAAGCCTAGAGAAATGAATTATTATAGCAGGAGCTAATTGTATCAGCAAAATAAAAACTTACTCGGCGTGGCCACGCATCGGTCACCCTTCAATGGGGAAGGTTCGAAATTTTGTTTTTCAATGTAGGAAAGATTCAAAATAATACATCATTTAACTCAGCTTTTCGAGCTGATTACGAATCTCTGCTTAAGAACAATTTTCAGGATGAGAATTCAAATTTTAAGAAAATTTCTGCTTTAAATTTGATTTTCGGACCTATGAATTTTTTTTTAAATCTGAAAACTACCTCCTCCGATAGAGAATTAAATTCTCTACAAAACTCATTCTTTGCTCTTGTCTATGGTTGAAACTTTTTTTTTCGATTTTTTGAAAAATACGTTTGGCTGCTCTGTTGTGAGCAGTTTTATGGTCAATTAATCGAAATTTGAAACGTGGATTTTGGACGCATCAGGCTGAGGGCATCTCAAATTAAATATCTATGCGCAAATCGTAGTTTTTTCAGTAACACTATCACTGAAAAAATATTCACGAAACCATCTCCCAGAAAAGCCCAAAAATGGCGAAATTCCGTGACGGCTACTTTTTGTTTTCTTTCGCTCTCTGAAAACTTATCCCAGAAAAATTCTACCACAGTTTCCATAGTTTCAAGTGTGGGCGTTAATTTGGTAATTGTGCAATCATTCCGGCACTAATCTGAGACAGAATAATTCGCAATTTTCACAAGCACCCAAGAAAAAGATTTCATTTTTTGAAATTCCGAGACGCTCAGCATTTTCTGAATAACTCTGCTGTTGTTAAAACTAAATTGATAAAAGTTTTACTGGTAACACATCTAAGTACTATCTATCTACGCTGAAAATTTCGGGCAGTTTGCTTTTAATACGAAGAAGTTACAGAGGTCTCAATTTGAAAAAATGAAATTTCGTGACGCTCGGCCGCACCGTACTAGATAAATGTTTCAGTTACTAATTACCATTACCTTTGAAACATACAGTCACATCTATCTGAATAGCCAATGTCAGTTTCTAGGCCTTTCTTATGGTTAAACTTTCATACATACCATCAAAAATGCTAATGTCTTTCAAGGGAATCGATTAATTGCCTCATGTGATGAAGATACCATATTTTTTCGAAAAGAGTATCGGTGAAATCGAGAGCACTTAGACAAATAATTTGCATGTTCTATTTACTCACATGTACAGGACTGCACTATCCAAAATAGTTCTCGTTATCATTTATCACAAAAAAGTAAAGTTTATTCATGGCTATTATTTGAAGAAAAATACTACCAGTGATCTATCACGATTACATGAACTTTCATTTAATCTTCAATCAAATGAGCACATTTTGAATACAATTACGATTTTTTTTTCAAATAGAAAATCATTGTCATGCAGAGGAGAATAATCCAGCTAGTTTTCCAGTGAATTTATTTATATTTTTTAGTCGAATGTTTTTCTGGTGAATGATTTATTAGTGTTCGACATTTGGTTATACATGATAATAATCATTACATTAGTTGAGTACACATTGATTATATTGAACGGTATCTTATCGATTCAAACACATGTTTACCTTGTCTTTAAAAATTATACGATATTCAATATGTAGATCTTGTGACTGTAATACTTGACAAAATTTTTGACACTCACACCCTAAAAAAATGTCATTAAAATGATGAAACGGACATTATTTTAATTTATTTCAATTTCATACATGAAAATACATATTTTCATCAAAATAATTTAACGGCTTCTATAAAAAAAAATACCAAATTACTGTAATTTGCTCGATTAAAACGCTCATTGTCATGCATGCAATTGAAATAACATCGTCTAGAATGCCATTTTTATATTTCCTGGGAAAGGATAAAGACTATGCTTAAAATAATTTCATTTGTGTAAATTAAATTCTTTTTGTACTTTATTTATAGATATAAATAACAAGAAAGAGAAATAACTTTGATTTGTTTAAAAATAATTTAAAATAATATCAATCTATGAATTATCAGCATGATTTAATTAAATTTTTAGTCTTGGTCGTCAGTCAGTTTATAAAGAAAATCAATCACCAAGAAAAAATCCTATCTCCTGAAATAGCTTCTCAAACGTAAATTTCAATTTTCCACCATCAACTTAAAAGTCAAAATAATAATTCTCATACTAAACATTCATTACAAAATATTCGGATTGAATCATCTCTTAGATCATGCAATACGGTATTGGTTGATCCTATGGAAACAAATGATGATTTTAATTCCCTATCGTCGTCTTCTTCATCTTGATTCGTAGTCAAATCTTGCATAAATAACAAATAGCTAATTTTTCTTTCTTCTCATGTAGTTTTTCTCCTTGTTACTCTTGCTTTTTCCTGCTGATTTAATGAATCATATAGTAATGAATCAAAACAATTTAGATGAGTTTCTGGAGGAATATGGACACTCACAGTAGAGTATCGTAATAGTCGAGTGCTTTTTTTATATAGTAGGTTTAAAGATCTTCTAATTTTAAATGATTTATTACAATATTACAGTCTGAAATCTTTGTCTGAATTTACTGAAAATCATTGTGATCATTG